ATTTTTATATAATTTAACAATAGAAATTATTTTTTTAGTATTTTGTTCAGTTGCACAGGTAGAGACAAACAGTATTTAGTATTTGGTGCACCAGTGGATTGGACACCAGTGGACTTGTCTGATACAGAGCTACCTAATTATGAACATGTTATGACATGTGACATGACATGATTTTATTTTATACATATATAATATTTTGTACATATAAAATCATATACATATGATTTTAAATAATTATGATTTTAAATAGCAAAAGATCAAACTATTAAAAAAAAAAGAACCACAACCAACAAAAATAACAGCCTAAGTCAAACAAATTTGGAGTAAAGTGTCTATACCAGTTCTAAGTCATGCTGCTGTCTTACATATCATCTGGGCATAACACGACAAGCATTAAAATTTGCTAAATGTTTTTAAAAGTCAACAGACGTCAGCATGCTATTGAGACAAACTGTACAAGTGCCTGTAAAGAAGTAAGAATTTCTGGATAAATGAAATTTATGCCTTATGGCCATTGGATTTTTATTGTTGACAAACTTTCAACAAAAGAATTATTCCACATGGTCATTCCAGGACAGATTTTGCAACTTTGCAACAGGAGCAAAAATAACCAGTATAACAAAAACAACATAGAGTCAACAGAATAAATAGAATCACAACTAAATCAAGCATCAAAAGATCTAATGGACCTTTGTTTTGATGAATGAAAATAAATTTAATGATAAATCAAAAGGAACTTGATTCCTCATATCTTGGACATTAATTGATGCCTCTACCAAACTTATTTCCTCAAATTTAGTACTTTCATCGAAATTTCTTAGCTGATTATTTTCTATTGGATTATTGAAAAATATACCAATAGACAATCTAGTTGATTGAATTAAGGAAAAATTAAGTTTTTTAAACAAAAAGTGAAAAAAAAAACCATTACAATGAAGTTTATGCTTCATTGCACTACATCATTTATAACAAAATAAGGACTAGGAATTACGTCAGGCCTGCATGCATTTTCTAAAACAATCAGAAAATTGGTAGTATGAAAACAGTTGCTAGTTGAGAATTGTTCAAAAACTCAATTTCAATTTACCAATTATTAACTATAATGATCTCAATACAGATCAGAAATTTATTTTAAAATATTTATGGAAAATAACCATGACTATCTCAGGTTATTGCCTTGAAAATATAGCAAAGTAACACCGGGAAACGTAAGATATATAACAATACCAAACATGATTTTTTTTTTTTTAATCTAGTAAAGCAAAACTTTCATATATTTTGCAAACCCTTGCTAAAAGCGTCTAAAAAGTAAATGCACCAATGCGATTTAAGAATCTTTATGTACAAAGAGTGCAAAATATATGCTGAGTTAAATTAAACTATCTTTACCTTTTTCTAATAAATAGAAAAATGTTGTTCATCCTGCAACTCAAAAAAAGTTAATTCCAAAAAATCTGCTTTTATCCCTTATTGCAGACAAGCATCAACACATTTCTAAGCTTAGAGTTTGTTAATTTTGAAAACAGGAAAAATTTCAAAGTTACCAAAATTAACAAACTTTAAATTTAAGTTATTAAATTTAAAAGTTAAAAAAATGATCTGATGAATACCTTTTCTACGTGGGAAGGGAAGAGAAGTTGTTAGCTCTCTTTAATTACACTAAAATTTAAAAGCAATTTGCAAGAACTTTTGAATCAGCGATATAGTAATTTTTTTTAATTAACTTGTTTTTTAGTTTATCTTCAAAAATACACATTTTTTGCTTGTCCCCGAAAATACATATTTTTTTGCATGTCTTTATAATAAATAAATAGAAAAAAATTACAATATTTGTAAAAATATAAATTATATGCTGTCTTATCATGTCACAAAGCGCAGTGAATCTATTGGTTTGAATGTCACAAAGCGCAGTGAATCTATTGGTTTGAATGTCACAAAGCACAGTGAATCTATTGGTTTGAATGTCACAAAGCGCAGTGAATCTATTGGTTTGAATGTCACAAAGCGCAGTGAATCTATTGGTTTGAATGTCACAAAGCGCAGTGAATCTATTGGTTTGTATGTCACAAAGCGCAGTGAATCTATTGGTTTGAATGTCACAAAGCGCAGTGAATCTATTGTTTTGAATGTCACAAAGCGCAGTGAATCTATTGGTTTGTATGTCACAAAGCGCAGTGAATCTACTGGTTTGCAAGAATTAAAGTCATTTTTAAATCAGCGCTAGAGTAATTTTTTTAACTAAACTTGTTTTTTTAGTTTGTTATCAAAAATGCACAAATATTTTTTTACTAGTCCCCAAAAATACATATTTTTTTGCATGTCTTAACAATAAAATTAAAAAAAAAATTACAATATTTGTCAAAATATTGTTTAAACAATTCAGGTAATGGAGCATTTGAAACAGTTTACAATACAGAGAAATTTTTTTGTAGGTTACCTTTAAGATTTTATTAAATCTTATTTTATTTTACATTTAGTCGTCTGTGAATATAAAGAATTTTACTTAGTTAATAATAACAATTTGTTGTTGGTGGTGGTGGTGGTGGTTTTTGTGTAGTTTGCGATGGAATTGTGTTTTTTGTGATGCAATTGTGTTATTTTTATGCCATTTTCTTAGGTTTTTCTGCCATATTTATTAACATACTTTTAATCTATGTCAAGCATGGTTGGAATCAAATACGTTTGATTAAATACAAATACGATAATTCTAGATTTACAAATACAAATACAAAATATATTCAATCAGTATTCTCCAAATACAAATACATTATATCTTTGAAAAACCCAAAATTTTCTTTCAAAGACCTGGAAATATTCTGAAATTTTGAACTTTTTTATGAATGCAAATTGCATTAGCTATTGGCTGGCAACCCTACCACTACATCACTACTGAATTAGCTATTGGCTGGCAAGCCTGTCTTATCTATCTAAATATTTTTGAATCTGTATTAAATAGGTGATGTTATTAAATTAAATAAGGCAAAATTGAGGTCCTAACAATAAGAGAATATAGGATTGTGTTGTTTTAGCTATAATAGGATAAAGGATGTTCATGGTAAATCTGTTTGGTAAGTAAAACATTTTTCATTTTTAATTATTATTTCGTTCTTATTAAACTTATATGGTTTGTATGGCTTTTTTTAAAACTGATTACATCTATGAATACATATTTAAGAAATTATAAACACAAAATTAAAGTTGATCATGAAATTTAAATTTACTCATGAAAATCATGAAACATTGATGTACTCTATTATTGTTTTTTTTTCTTCTGATACTTATTTAGTTTCTGATTTTTTTTAAAGCATTAATGCTTCGCACCAACTAAGTTTCATGGAATGCATGAAAAAATGACTCACCTTTAATATATGCCAAATCATAAATGAAGTTAATATTAAAACAAGTTAAACAAAAGCAATAGATGTTGGTACTGAACTAAGGTATTTTTTATATTCTAAAATATTATTCCATTCATGTTTCAGCTTGCAATTTATGGTTTGAGTAATTTTTTTTAAGTAAAAATTAGTTTTTAGTTAGTAAATTTTTAACTTAAAAGAAGTTGAAAAGCTTCTTTTTATTTATCATCTATGTTATTAAACTGTTAGCAGGGTTTACATTTTTCAGGATATTTCTGTGATTCTGGAAAATTTCTTTAAAATTTTATTTCTTGAGATATCTAAATAATTTTATGAAATTACAAGTTAGAATTTTTTTTTGTTACTAGTTAACTCCACCTATATTCAAATTATGAAAGTTTCAGTGCCAAACAAAGTCAATAGAAAAAATCATTATCAACATCAACAGTTTGTGGTCGAAAATCAGATGGTTTGAATTTTATTAGTTTGAGGTTAAAAGTATAGAAACAAGACAGCAAATTTACTGCTCAACTATACAAAGTTAATTGTGCACCTATGAGATTAGTGTACTAATGTTTAGTAAAATTAATTATTTTTTATCAGTCATTAAAGCATTTTAATTAAAACATATTTTTGATTAAAATGATGGCCTCTTTAAATTTGAATAAATATATAGTAGCTGTAAAGATTATTTTTAATATTCATGTCTTCCCCTACCGTGAAGTAGTTACCTTGATTTATGAAAAAAAAAAACTTTGAATGTTTTTTTTTTTAAATATTCATTTTTTTAATAGTATTATGCAAAATCAATTTATTTCAGCAACAATATATCTTTAAAAACATTTGAAGTTTATTTAAAAAAATTTTTAAAAAATATTTTTAATGTTTTAAAGTTTGAAATAATTTATGTTCATGAATGATTTTTTTTTAACAGTTTTTTAAGAAACTTTTTTATAGTCAACATAAATGATATAATTTATGTTAAAAATCTAAATTTTATTTTGGTACAAAGGTAAAAAAATTTGTACAATTTTCTTTAAATTTCAAAATCAAAAAACAGTAGCATTTTTTCAATGTAAAATTTTTAAAAATTAGTATTTATATTATACTTTTTAATTATCATAAATTCTTTTTTCAAGTAAACCATTTGCTAGAGCAAATAAGATATACCAAATAAGATATAGAAAATAAAATATAGCAAATAAGATATAGCAAATAAGATATAGTCTAATTTTTCTAATTTTGTTATGACAAACCTATGTTAACTTTTGGATATTTAATTTTTTGAATAAAGATGGTTTTCTAATTTTTCCCAGCATGGTCTCCTCATTTCATAGGAGATATAAATACAATCAAAAAAATTTAATATTGATCAACAAAATAAATTAAGTCAATATGTCACAAATTACAATAAAATTTGTAACTTATTTTAGTTACAAATTATACAATTTTTTTTTTAAATTTTAAAATAAAAAAAAAATGGCTTTTTTGATTTTGGCATTTGGGCACCTCAAGATTATTATAGTTAAATCAATTCTACCAGATGATAGTGCTACCAATGAACTTTTTTTGTTAACAAAAAAATCACCACTACCAATTTCTATATTTTCTGTGAATTCACAATTTAAATTAAAAAAAACTTACTTGCTGGAAGGGACCAATAATCTTAGAGTACAATACGTTAACCATTACAATCCCAAGAGGATAACCAGTGTTGATAAAAATTATTCCTGTAACAAGCTGTGGAAACGACAATTGAGGAGTGTAGTGACACCATCGGTAATTACTAGGGCAACCACCTCCCCCATTGTCAATAGTAGTAGCATTGATATTATCTGCAAAAAAAGCAAAAGTATTTTAAAATAAAATCAAAAGAAAGAAAAAAACTAAAAAAAAGAAAGATCTAAAAAGAAAGCATATATGAACTAATATTACATATGCTGAAAAAGAGGGTAGGAGATATTAAACTATTACTTCCACATTACACAGGAGCATTGCAATGTTTTTAAATAAAAATAAAAAAATTTGCTACTGACTTTGCTTAAATAAAAAAAATAGCAACACAAGTCTTTTAATGACAGTCATTCTATGTATAGGCCATTTTCAGTCATTAACAAAAAGTTATCAGCATGTATGTTGACGTGTATCTCTGAGATCAAGTTTAGTTAAAATGATGTTTTATATAAAAAAAACTAAAGTTTATAAAATAATAATATAAATTTTTTTTTACTACTTGTTAAAAAAAACTATTAGTTTAATATTAATATTAATAAGTTTAAAAAAAGAAGTTTATTAAAAAACTTATTAACTATTTATCAGGCTTGTACAGGAATGCAGTGCCATCGAACGCTATTGCTGACCATGCAAATGATTTTTTTTGTTGACAACTTGAACACGACTGTTTAGATGTTTTTATAATTTAAACATTTTAGAAATGCGCTGAAAAAAGAAACGCTAAGCTAAACAGTTTAGCTTAGCGTTTTTAAGTCTTTTTTTCAAGTCTGAAAACAATGAAAAAAATGAAAAACTGAAAAAGGAAACAATTCCTCACGAAAAAGAAAATTTTTAAAGTAAAACTTAAAAAACTCAAACTCAAAGCAAAATTTACGTTTTGTTACGTTTTTAATTGCGTTTAAAATAAATTACTTTGAAACTTATCTTTTGAAATGTTTAAGTTACTCAAAACGCTTTGCGTAACTTTAATAAATTGAACAAATTACTTCTAATGATTGTTTAACAAATGAGCAAGTTTTATCTAAATTGTTATTTCTGACCGGTTTATTAAAGTCATCCTTGAAGGCCAACACTCTTCTTTATTTCCAGTAACTTCTGGGGTTCCCCAAGGTTCCATCCTGGGCCCTGTTTTGTTTCTTATCTACATAAACGATCTTCCTGACAACCTTTCATCTAAAGTAGCTCTTTTTGCTGATGACTCAACTTTATACTCCTGTCTTGACAAAAAGTCTTCTCTTTTCGATCGCCTAGAACAAGCAGCTGATCTTGAATCTGATCTCACTTCAGTAATAGATTGGGGTTCACAGTGGTTTGTGAATTTCAACTCTAAAAAAAACCAATTGCTTACTGCAAACAACTACCGTAATATGGTCAACATTCCTATATTAATGAATGGCAATCCTCTTACTGAGTCGTCCTCTTTACGTCTTCTTGGATTATCGCTTACTACTGACCTTTCATGGAAACCATATATACAATCGATTGCTAATTTAGCTTCTGATAAGGTTGCTTCTCTTTATCGTGCTCGCCATTTCCTTACTTCTGATTCCATTCTCTACCTCTACAAATCTCTTATTCGTCCCTGTATGGAATACTGTTGTCATATTTGGGCTGGTTCTTCTAACGATTCACTTTCTCTTCTTGACAAGGTCCAAAAACGCATTGTAAATGTTGTTGGACCTGGACTATCTGCTAAGCTTGAACCTCTTTCCCATCGTCGTAAAGTTGCATCTCTTTCTCTTTTCTACAGATACTATCATGGTCACTGCTCAAAGGAGTTATCATCTCTAGTTCCATCAACTAAAATTCATTCTCCTTGTACTTGTCATTCAGCTAAGTCTCATTCGTTTACTGTATCTGTCCCTGCATGCTCTAAAAACTTTTATTCATCTAGTTTTTTTCCTCACACTTCAATCCTTTGGAACTCTCTCCCATATTCATGTTTTCCTGACTCATACAACCTTCAACTTTTCAAGTCTTCTGTCTACCGTTTCCTTGCTCTATAACTCTGTTCTTTTTTTTTCCTAGTAACTCCCAACTTAATAGTGGTTGCTTGCAGCCTTGTTGGGAGTGAATGCAAATAAAATTAAAAAAAAAAAAAAAAAAAAAAATGATTAAAAATATATAAAACAGTATTTTAAAATTACATTAACTAACATTACATTAACATTAAATTACTTAACTTAAACTAAATAAATGATTAAAAGTTTTAAATCATTTCAAGTCAAGTTTAAAAAAAAAAATGTTAGAAAAGATCAACAATTGTTATTGATAACATAACGATATTTTAACTTCATTTAAATTGTTAAAACCTTTAAATAGCTGTGGTCAAATTGAAAAGAAAAAAAATTAGCATGGTCAGTTAGAGAGTGATTGCACACCATTCCTGTCCAAGTCTGATTTATTATTTTAAAAATCTTTAAAAAATTCAATTGCTTATTTAATAAAGTAAAATGTTACCAATAATTTTTAGTTTTCCTGGACCCCATGGCAGATAAAAAACAAATCCAAGAAACATCAAAAAGTAGGAAAATATCATAACTTTTCTTTCAGTGAATCTACAAAAAAAAAAAGAAAACATATATATATCATTTCAATCTTGGTGATGAAAGTGTCACAAAAAATCAAAAAAAGAATTTATTTGATGGAACTAAAATAACAATAAAACCATTGTTACCACCTTATACACAAACAAATATATAAATAATGGATAATTCCAAGTAAACATTCCATTTGTAAACCTCCAACATTTGTAAATCTCCGACATTCGTTAACATATTATGCTAATGAAATTTGTATTATATCCTTTATAAAGCCTAAAATTCCTAACATTCGTAAACCTCCAACATTCGTAAACCTCTAACTGAACAAGATTCCACTATCACAAATAAAATGTATATATTTCAAAACATAATTAAAACAAAAAACACTGTGCTTCATGAATCTAACTTTTTAAATGGATTTAGTTTTTGAAGATACAAAAAATTTGTTTTATAATATTGTTTATGATTCTTAGACTCCACTCCTTTTATGGAGTCAATAATCAACCTTGTGAATACCACAGTGGTAGATTAATTGGACAATGTAATTGTTTCAAAAAAATAATTGTGCTTATAGTTGTTGGTCTCAAATAATCAAACCCTAGTGTCACTGAGATTTTATTAAAAATAAAATAGATTTTATTAAAGATGAAATAGAGAGAATAGTGTCACTGAGATTTCATTAAAGATGAAATAAAAGATAGAGATTGCTAAGAAATCAGAAATAAAAATTTAAATGTTTAAATATTTAGAAATTTTAAATATTTAAATTTTAATGTTTAAATATTTTAACATAAAGCTCTACAGGTCTTAACATTTTGATTATTGATCATCAGACTTATGTGTCATTCACTCAGCATTTTCAGCATTTATGGATCAGATATACTAGAAGAAAATATCTTTATCCCTTATAATAATCAAATTTATTTGATTATGATAATGTACGTTTGCTTAAAAACTTATAAAATAATTTGAATAATACCAAAAAGTTTATTTTTATTTTGGTTCAATGATTATAGTTTTAGTATAAAAGTGTCTGCAGGTATCTTGGCTTCATAGAATACATGAAAAAGATGATTGAGCAGACATAAAAATATCAACTACTAGAAAAATACAGAGCCAACATTAAGACATTACCTTCAAACAATCAAACAAGATGCCAATCTAGCATTAAATATAGTTCATAAAATAACTTCTGCAGCAGAAAAAATTTACTAATTAATATTTAGCATCATAAATATTAAAACTAAAATTATAAAATCATAAGTTCACAAATTTGTCCTAGAAAGCCACATTTTTTGTGTGTATATGTAGAATTTACAATACAGTTCCACTGAATGATGTCTCACTTAAACTTTCAGAATCTTAGATTTTATTTTGTCTCCATTCGAGACGAGATATCATACAAAGCCGAGATAAAACTGAGATTTTTTTAAAATGTAAAATACTATGGAAACAAAGTGAAATTTTCCGAAAAATTTGTGTTTTATAACTTTTTATTAATATTAATGAACCATAAATTTTCAACAATTATCAAATTGATGTTGAATCTTGAAAAAACTTTTCAAAAGACTTTAGTCATTCAAAGTTGCAGCTGTCATTCACTCCTGTTTTTTACTACGATGGTTGCTTGAAATTTAAAAATTTTGCTCATATCGAATCGATTATGGCTTGATTAGTTTCAACACATGTTCTAATCTGCATAACTTTTCTGATTTGAATCCAGTCATAACGTAGCTGACAAAATCTTCAGCAGTCAAATCATTAGGATCAGTGACTTGGATTTGTTGTCTCACATTTGATTTTTTTTTCTGTCTTGTTGGGTATTTGAGCTTTGGGACAAATTTGTTCAACGTTTTAAGGAAGCAAAAAGACATAACTCATTATCAACGGTCTGCTGGGTTTCAGATGCAATTTCCAAAACATCATTACTGTCATTACTAGATGGAAATGAAAAAATGTTTAAGTCTTTTCGCTTCATCAATATTTTCTTTATATGATGAGTGTAAGAATTGGTATACTTTCGTCTCTTCAAGAACTCCTGGATTGTTGAGAAATTTGAGCACAGTCAAGACTGGATGTCTTTTAAGAATCTCTATTTCAATTTCTTCAATCACAATTAAATAACCACAAATAAAACATTCTTTGGTTCGCAATTCCTCCAACAAAAATTTTAATGCACCTTCTGCTATGTTCAAGTTGGAATCATTGCCACTCATGCAATCCATAGCCATTTTACATGGTTGAAGAGTTGCAACTATTTCAGGAATACTCGTCTCTAAAAAATCATGTTCAAATGCTTTAAATGTTTTTTTATAGCTGGCTTTCTTTATAGCTTTGATTATAGATAGATTCCGTGATCATAGCAAATTTGATGTTGTTATTGTGAGAACCAGACACATTTAGTGCAAACACTTGCCCTATCCATAGATTGAGCAATGCAATCTTGATCAGGATCAATGCCAAAGGTCATTTATTGATGATTTTGCAACCTTAAAAGGGTTTTAGCATCACTTTCTTTTCCTATTTTAATCATAACAAGATTTTGATTGTAATTGTTGGGTCCAAAAATATGGATGCTCATAACTTTAATTTGTTAAAACGTTGCCAAGAACAATTCTTATAAAACCAAATTCCCAAATATGAACCCATTTGTCTACTATCATTGTCAAAAATAAGTTTTCTGGTTGTGCAAAAAAAACAATTCTCTCAATTACTGGGTCTATTACTTTCAACAAATCAGTGGGAAGGAAACTTGGCAATTTTATCATTTCAAATAAATGTTTTGCTCCATTTGTGAAGTATGATTTTAAAAGAAAAGAAACTACCTGATTTAATTGCAGAACTTATATCAAACAAGAATTGTTGATTTTTACTTAAAATTTTGCAACCAATTTTCAAAATTTCAAAACCAATACTGTCAAATTTTAGCACTGATAATTTTTCACACCTATTAAGCTATATGCCGATCGGACCATTAAACGATTTTGGACCTGTCATTTCTTTGTCAAACTTTTGAAACAAATGACGGAATGGCAATTCGTTAAAATGTATTTCATAAAATTAAAATAACTTGTATTGCTGTTTCTTGTCATTTATTAACTGGACAACTCTGTAAATTGTTACTGTGGGTATTGAAGCTTTATCAAACACAAATTTAACTTGTTGTGCATAAACATAAGAAAACTGAACTGCTCAGTGTAGTTAAGGCAATTTACAAATTTTTCAAATACTTTTATTTGGAATTAGCATGATTTTATCAGCGTATTGTGTCCAAACAAAAGTTTTTGATGGTATAATTTTTTTGCTTCAGGTTTTTTTAATATTTAAAGAAACTTTTCTTTTTTTTATATAATTTTCAAAACCTTTTTACTACCTGTAATAGTTAATCTAAAGAACACTATTTTGGAGTCTTTAAATCACTTTCGCTCATCGGCATTAACATAATTTTAGTTAAAATCTTTTCAAAAAGTTCCTTAATTTATGACTGATCCTTATTCTAATCGGTTCTGATGTATATTAACTATATATAGTTGTCAAAACACAATATTTCTATCAATTTTCACAAAAAATACATAAAATAAATAAAAAAAAAGAATCTTTAATCTGAGTTTTATTGCTACAAACATTTACAAATTTATGATACCGCAAAATTTATCATTTTCATACTTTCCGTCTTTTCATAATTCACAGACCTGACCATTTAACGGAAATATGTCGTAGTCAACAAAATATCTTAAAGACGCTATAATATTTTAAAAGTGCCTTAACTACAATCTTTAAACCTACAAACCTTTAACTAGCAATGGTTTAACAATGAGCAGTTGAATTCACTACAAGTAATTTTTATAAAAACAGCCATGAATAATTGTTTAATATTATTTAATAACCAACCAATAATTTTATCAATATTATAACAATATTATATAATATTGTTATATTATCCAATAACAAAAATATATCAAAACAAGTTGCTGTGGAGAGAAATACACCAAGTTTGCAGTGCATAGTGGAAATACTATAATACAATACTTTTTATAAAAATTATAATATAGCAAATAATTTTTTAAATATTTAACTGCAATGCAATTGCAGTTAAATATTTAAAATTTAATTCTTTTTTTTTCCATCATCTTTAGGTACCCTAGAGGCAATTTTTTTGCAGTTTAGCAAATCAAAAATCAAAAAAAAAAAAAAAAATTGAAGGAAAAAAGTCTAAAGTAAAGACTAAGTAACTTTCAATTTGAAAAATGTTCAAAAAGATAGAATTCTACTATGTAGACCTAATTTAAACTTGATAATTTATAATACTTATAAACAAGCCATCCAATTTTTGGCCTATTTGTGCAACATATCCATGTATAAAGTATTTTGTGCAACATATCATGAAGTCATGAGAAAAACAAAACGAATACAAATAAAATAATAAAAAGGATAATTACATATGCATGTCATAATATACATGACATAAATTGTATGTCATGTGTATTATGATATATATATATATGTCATAGATTATAAAAAAAAGAATGTATAAAAGTTACCTCTTACAAAGAGGAGCAGCGGCAATATACAAAAAAATAGATTGGACCCCAGAGCAAGACAGAATTATTGCACCATACAATGTTGTTTGTTCACGTGACCAACCATACTCATTCATAAGGAGAGGAGAAAGAATTCTAAATTTTAATTTTTTGGGATTAGGTATTTTTTTGGGTAAATATAAGAATAATAAATTTAAAAATATATATAAACTATACATCACAATGTAATGTACAAAATTTTCCCATTAAATAGAAATAGCATCGTTACTTTTTTATATATTTAATGTATTGTACTTACAAATAAAATAACAACTTACGATTCGTTTAAAGAAAAAATAGACATTCCCACAAACCAAAGGCCAATACAAGCCAAAACAGCATACTTATCAACCGGTTCAAAATTAGCTAAAAGTAAAAGAAAAAAAAATAAAGCTAAAGATAAAAAAAAAAAAGATTTAAAAAAAACAAACTTATTTAAAACAATATAAAAGAAAAATAATAAAAAATTATATAAAAAAAAAACAGACTAAAAAACAACAACAAAAAAAAAAAACATCTTTAGAGATCTTATATTAGTATTCATCTTTATAACATTTTATAAATCATTCCAATTTAACTTCTTTTTTTTTTTTTTTATGATGTCCCTAAGACCACGAATGCCACTACAGTCAAAGAGGCTATTTAAATTGTGGTTTCCCCACTCTATAACTCCAAAAAACAAAAGGTTTTTGAGAATTTTTTTGAGACTAACTTTAAATGCAAGCATTTACAGCAAAAAATTACACAACTAACATTGTGAAACCGTTAATGCCTTAAATAAATAAAGTAAAGTAGACATCCCATCTTAAAGACTTAGCCATAAAATTAAGCATATTAAATGGAATACTTTATTATGTCATTCTGGAACCACTATTAAATATATATCATGCCATTTTTGACTCACATATACAATATGCTTGTCAAATAGATAAATCTCAACAGCAAGCAGTTTTAGGGATATTCCATTTTCAAAACAAAGCTTTAGAAATGATACATTTTCAGAATTACAAATTCAATCCTAATGTGCTTTATCTTACTTCTAAGATCCTTAAATCTCGTTCAACTCAGGAATTTGCTAAAATACAAAAATATAAAAAATAGAAAATGCTAGTTTGTCTGAAATCATCAACACAAAAACCTACCTCTTACCTTCAACAATTTTTTCCCTAAAAATGCATATAACTGATACTATCTTGGATCAAAGTATAAAATCTTGGAACCTTCTCTATGATTTAAAGCTCTCAACTCAATGGATCCATTCGGAACTCTATCTTGTTAGATTTTTCTCGGTTTTTCGGAGTTCGAGAGAAATCAAGAAACTTCGACAGAACTTCAACAAAGTTTTGAGAAAATATCAATTTTTACTTGTAAAATAATTAAATTCTTATTTTATTTCTATGCTGTTTTTACAATAGTTCTTGTTGTTTTCAAAATGTAAGTGTTCTCTTTCTTCAATAACAGCACTAATTTACATTGCAAAGCAATTTGTAATGCACAGTGGGCCAGGTGGTGGTGGTGGAAAAAACCTCAAAAAAAAGCTTATTTTATTCAAATCCATATAATAAAACGTTCTCATACTTTTCCATTGAACTATTTCAAAAACTCTTTTGAATATAATAGTATCTTTTTAGTAATAGTATCTTTTTAAATCCAAAAAAATCAATTGTGGTATAATAAAATGTAATGTATAATGAAATACCTTTTTTTTGTCAAAAAAAGCAAGAATTTTTCAATTTTTAAACAAAGATATAGTAAACAATAACTTTTAAAATATTATGTGTATGTGATATTAGTTCATATATTTTAACTATTTAATTGTTTACCTTAACAAAAAAAAAAAAGTTTCAAACATAATATAATTATATTTTGTACAACTAGTGTTGTATATCGTATGATCAAGATAATTTTGTCTACTTTAAGTCTAATATCCGGCCCACTGTGTATTGTGGCAATATTGGGTAATAAAATGTTATCAGTTATAACAAGTAATAATATTCAATGTTTAATTATACTCGCCTATTAGATTAAATAACTTAATTAATGAGTTAAAATGTGATAACTTATCACATAAGTCTTTATTACAGAGCACCATGGATAGGCATTTAACTGAAAGTTAGAAAGCCATTTATTAGTTAAAACTTGTTCATTAAAAAATTGTGATAAAAAAATATTTAAGTACTAAGAAATATAAAAAAATAAATTTTTTGAAAATATATAATAAATCGAAATATATAAAACAAAAATAAAACATAAAAAAACAATATTTAATTATCAACTACACCTTTTCAAGATGTAATTGAGAAAACAAAAAATGTAATTAAGAATCGTAAGATGTAATTGAGAAAACAAAAGTTGTAATTAAGAAACGTAAGATGTAATTGAGAAAACGTAAGTTGTAATTAAGAAACATAAGATGTAATTTAGAAAACGAAAATTGTAATTAAGAATCGTAACATGTAATTGAGAAAATGTAAGTTGTAATTAAGAAATAGAAAGATGTAATTGAGAACACGAAAATTTTAATTTAGATATCGCTTTAAAAGGGTAAGTGTAAAAGGGCGCTTAAAAAAAATGGCGCGTAAAAAAATGGAGCGTATAAAATGACGCACTTAAAAATGACGCAAGATTTGTAGCGTAAATTTAATTTTTTAGGGAAAAATTTAGGGAAAAATTTATAATTTTTGGGCAAATGAATTTAACATAATAAACACTAAAAACATTTTAGGGAAAAATTTATAATTCAATTAAAAATTATAATTAAAAATTATATAATTAAAAATCACTTCATTGATCATTTAAGCACCAACTTGTACGTCTTCCATATTTAAAATAGTTGCATAGTGCGTGGTTGTGTGTTGTACCGCACGTGCACAATCTCCTCCCATTATAGTATTTTTCGCCTCAATTACAATTCGTTCTAAGTACTGCATGCGCTGTTCCGCAATCCCGTCACCTAATACAGGTGGAATGCGAATTGCATTTTTAACGTTACTTTTAATTTTGGACCAGATCGTTTCCATCGGGTTCAACATTGGACTGTAAGGTCCCAAACGTAACAACTGAGCTGGTGAATTATCAAACACCCTTTGCAAACGAGCGTGACAAGGAGCATTATCTGTTACGACGACCAAATCCTCCAAACGATTCCCGGATGTAACCCACTGGTGAAACATAACCAACATCCACTCGTTATAGGAATCTGCTTTAAATGATCCCCTGCGAGTTTCTATCATGACGACATTTGTAGTTGAAATAGCTGCGATCAAGTGTATGTTTAAACCTTTTGAAGCAGGTACTTTCATAATTGCTCTTTTTCCTTGTCTCCTTACGTTTTTCTACAAAAAAGGTTAAAATTTGTTTCATCCAACCAAACTATCTGACGACCATTTGTGATATGTTCGTTGATGTTTCTAACATATTCAGCTCTTTTTTGTTTGTTTTCATAACTGTTCATTGTAGAAGGCTCCTTGTGCACTTTTTTTAATGAGAACAATCTGCCTTCGAGGTAATTTGCTATTGTTGTTGTGCTAACGTTTATTTTAAATTGTCTTAATATCTTTGTTTTGATGGCCACCAATGTTAATTGACAATCATTTTCAATCCATGTTAATGTTTCTTCGATTTGATCTTCGGTAAACTTTTTCGGTTTAAAACCTCCTTTTCCGATGAAATTTGAATTTCCGCTGCGAACCCAATTGTATGCTGTCTTATATTTGATACCAAGCGTTTGCGCGAGATTCACCCAATCTTCAAATCGCTCCGCACATTCAACAACTCTTCTCCTGTCATTTGGAGAAGATAAAACGTAACGTTTCCTTTCAACTTGTTCAGTTGTGTGTATTTCATGCCGACAAATCGGACAACTTGAATCTGGTTGTTCCAGAACTGGACGTAAACAAATTTGGTGACATAAATGTTGACACGGATTTAGCTTAATTACAGACTTTTGGGTCATAGTGTATTGGCATATAACACAACGATCTTTCAATTCCATTATTATTACTTGTGCATACAAAAGCAAAATTTAAGATTATAACTTAAATTCATGTCCAAAAAGACCTTTTGTAACAACCTACAAACTTAGGCTGTGAATTTGCTATTTTAATTTATGTGTTCTCAATTACAAGTTACGATTTCTCAATTACATATTATGATTTCTCAATTATATCTTACGTTTTCTCAATTATATCTTACGTTTTCTCAATTACATGTTGTGTTTCTTAATTACATGTTACGACTTCTTATTTACATGTTGTGTTTCTCAATTACATATAACGTTTTCTCAATTACATGTTGTGTTTCTTAATTACATATTACGACTTCTTAATTACAACTTTCATGTTCTCATTTACATCTTGAAAAGGTGTAGATAGTTCAATTTTTTAATTTATAACAAAATATTATCGAAACTCCAATTTTTTCTCGACTCCGACTGAGTTTTTTCTCAATTTCTCTCGACTCCATTTTTTTGATATTGTATCCTTTGTCTCCATTCAATCTATGTTTTTAAGAGTAACCTATTCCACTATTTCTAATCGAATCAGTTAATAAATCCAAAGATATCTGTGTATAAGTGTTTGTGATAAGTGCATGTGAATAAGTGTGTGCATATATGTATGTATATGTATATGTTACATTATGTATGTATGCAATACAGGAGAACATAAGTATATGTGATTATATGTAGTTATGAATGTAAGTGAAATAAATAAATAAATAAAACAAGCAATAAACAAATCCAAAATTTTAGCAATTAATTTTAAATGGGTTGACCGCAAAACTGCTTTAATATTTTAAAGCATCAATATCTAATTTTTAAATATTTTACACGATATAAGCAAATTAGTTTCATAAATAATCACGATGCATAGTTTCTGGGAAGGAAAATTTTTTAATCCTTGTCAATTATTTACTTAAGCTAATCTGCCATTTTAAAGATTTGTTATAATTTTTAAAAAAAATTGGCATCAAATAGTTAAAAAAAAGCCACTAAACTTTCTGCTGCGTAGCTGACTGCCAAAACTAAATGATTATTACATCATTATAATAGCATAATGAAAGCTAATGAAAGCTTTTTTAGCATATCTTCTCTTTTTTACAAACTGCTGCTAAAGCAAGATATCTTGTTTTGCTTCATCAACAAAATTTCAATACCAAGTTATTCATCATTCAGCAAAACATTCTTTCACTGTATCTAAACTTTCACGATTTTGAAACTTTTTACATTTTTCAAGTTTTTTTTATTTTATTTTAACTTTTGGTGCTTTGGGATTCTTTCTTCATGTTTTCCTGACTCATACAATCTACAGTTTTTTAGGTCTTTTTTTTTAAAGATTTTTAATAATTTTTTAATTTCTTTAATAATT